TTTATTTTTATTATTAATAATAATTTTATTATTTATTTTTATTATTGACCATTTAATTTTCTTTTTAAACAAATACTTTTAAATTATTTTTAAATATTTATTTAATTTCTTTTATTCATTTTTTTTTAATTCCTGAGAAGACTTTATCAGTCGGAGCAGAATTTCCTGCCCTGGATCTTGAAGGCTCCGTCCGGAAATGACTCCGCTGCTTTGTCGGGAGTTGGGAGGGGAAGGAACGGATATAAGGGTGGGGGTTAAAAATATCCTGGTGTTTCCTCTTCCCACCCTGGAAAAAATTCCAATTACACATTCTGAGTTGATAGGGAAGAAGGTGAAAGCTCCTTCAATCCCTCAAAAAGAAGGATTTTTCCTTAAATCTCTCAAAATCTGGGATTTTTCCTTCAATCCCAAGTAGCGATGAGGTAGTATCATCCTTTCCCCTTCCATGAATCCCAGTCTGGGGGTACTGGGAGGACTGGGAGCAGCTAGAGCCGTGGGTCGGTGGGTGGGATGTGGTGGTGGAGCCATTAGGATGTGGTTGAATTTTCTGGGGAATAATTTTTTCCCTGAAGCTGAACGTTCTTCTCTGATCTGTGGTACCTGCTGGTGTCCCACCAGCTCCTCCCAGTAGGGTTTTGTGGGATAATGGGATGTGGGGGACATGGGGATGGGATGATGGGATGGGATGGGGTGGGGTGGAATGAGATGATGGGATGAGATGGGATGATGGGATGAGATGAGATGAGATGATGGGATGAGATGGGATGGGATGGGATGATGGGTTGGGATGGGATGGGATGATGGGATGGGATGAGATGATGGGATGGGGGATGAGGAGACACCACCCACCAATAATCCCAGTTTACCACTGGTAGCAAAAAATTGGTCTATTGGGGTGACAGGACGGGTTTGTGGATCACATCTGGATGCTCCTCTCCCCAGAAAATCAGTCCCAGGGGATGGAGGATCTGGTGTGGGATCATGGTGGGCTTCAGGGGTGTCCAGATGTTGGAGCCCCTTGGGAGAAGCAGCAGTTCCTTGGCTGAGGGGATGGATTTTTGGCTGGAGATTGTTCTTGGGAGGGAAACTGGGATGGGAGGGGACAACATTGTCCTACATCCGGAAGGTCCTTCCTGCAGCGAGGAAGGAGGAGAAACGTTCTCCTGACCCAACCTCCTGGTGAGAACTTGGGTTTTCCCTTGAGAACTGGGAGGTTCTCCAACAACTGGTGGGTTTTGATGGAGAAATGGCACCTGGGGTTGAGTCACGTCCCGTTTTCTTCCCTCTCCGGCTGCGGGCAGGTGTCTCCTCAGCCGTTCTAGAGGTGCACGTGGGGACGGGCTCAGTCTTCTCCGTGGAGGGACAAGGAGTGGTGCTGCCTGCCTGGTACACCAGCCACTCCCAGAAGAAGCCCTACGTCACCTGGCTGCTGGATAAGGAAGATGCTGACCCCTTCCAGGTGAGCGGTGGGGACAGAGGAGGACATGCTGGGAGGTGGCCATGGTGGGGAGGTGTCCATGATGGGATGAAGCTTCTGGTGTCCACCATGGGGAGGAGACCACCATGAGATGATGCCCATGGTGGAGGGGATCTTCATGGTGCCCATGATGGGGAGTTGCCCATGATGGGGAGATACTCATGGTGTCCATGATGAGGTGGTGCCCATGATGGGATGAAGCTTCTGGTGTCCATGATGAGGTGGTGCCCATGATGGGATGAAGCTTCTGGTGCTCACCATGAGGAGGAGACCATCATGAGATGGAGTCCATGGTGGAGGGGATCTTCATGGTGCCCATGTTGTGGAGGTGACCATGGTGGGAAGCTACTCACAATGGAGGGAACCTCGTGGTGCTCACAACAGGGACATGCCCACAATGGGGGGTTGATCATGGTGCCCACGATGGGGAGATGCTCGTGATGGGACAGTTGCTCATGGTGCCCATGATGGGGAGATGCTCATGATGGGACAGTTGCTCATGGTGGCCATGATGGGGAGAACTTGGGGTGCCCATGATGGGGAGATGCCCTCCATGGGTGGCTGCTCATGGGACCTACGCTGGTTCACATGCCATGGATGGAGTTGGCTCCCCAAAATTTGGGATCTGCGGGTAGTTTCACCTCCTGGAACACCATGAGTCGACCAAGCAGATGTTTTTCCTCCATGTAGATCCTGACCTACCTGGATGGAAGGGTGAAGGTAGAGGAGACGGAGTTGAAGCCCCGCGTTGGGTTCCTGCACCCCGTCCTCACCCACAACATCTCAGTGTTCATCAACTCCACCCAGGAGAGCGACTCGGGCCAGTACATGTGCACTGTCAACGTGGTGGATGATGTCACCAACACGGGCAAGAACGTTGGCGTCATCAACCTCACCGTCTTGGGTAAGGCTTGGCCAGGTCAACCTTGGCTTTCTTTGACTTCCCCCACCATGATGTCCTTGAGGACTCAAGTGGATGTCCACAGTGCCACCGGCTGTCCCCACCTGCCAGCTCCATGGCACCGCCACCGTGGGTGCCAACGTGACCTTGACCTGCACCTCCAAGAAGGGGAAACCCTCACCCATGTACCAGTGGCAACGTACGACCCCCACCCAACAGTTCTTCTTCTCTCCCATCCAGGGTAAGGTGACATCTTCTGCAGGTTGGTTGCGGGGGGGACATGGTGGGGTTGGAAAATCTTGGGAAGCTTCAACTGGTGGATCTTCTTGGTTTCATCATCATGAAACTTGATGAACATCAGGACCCTGCCATTCCTACCGGCAGGAGAACATCTCCTCCATCCTGCCCCAAGGAGGTAGGGTGGTGGGGGGGAGGTGACATGGGGTGGGGTGGCCATGGGGACATCACCCCAATTTCTTACCCTCAGACCAGACCAAGGGCACCCTCAAGTTGACCAACCTCTCCTTGGACATGTCGGGTCTTTACGTCTGCGTGGCCAAAAACCAAGCGGGTTCAACCGAATGCAGTGTCATCTTGGAGGTGCACTCAAGTGAGTACGTGTCCACCAGGCTGGGGACAGGGTGGGGGACACCATCTCCATCAGGTCCCCATGGGAATAAGGTGGGAGGTGACCAACCTTCCTCATCACCTCTCGGTCTTTCTCCAGCAGCAAGCACCAAAGCCGTCATCGCCGGCGCCGTGTTGGGTTCTCTGGGTGCCCTCGGCACCGTCATCTTCTTCGCCCGGCGTGTCGTCAGCTACCGGAGGAAGAAACGGGATGGACAGGAGGAGGCAGCCAATGAGATCAAGTGAGGAGCTCCTCCCAAATTGTCATTGTTAGGTTTCAGAGTTAACAGGAAGGAGGAGGTCTTAATTACTGCCCAGTCATCATTAGGTTTCAGGGTTAACAAGAAGGAGGAGGCTTTCATCCCTGGCCAGTCATCACTAGGTTTCAGAGTTAACAGGAGGAGGGAAGAAGTTTCTGCCTCTGACCAGTCATCATTAGGTTTCAGAGTTAACAAGGAGGAGGAGGAGGTCTTAATTGCTGCCCGGTCATCATCAGGTTTCAGAGTTAACAGGAGGAGGAATGGGGGTTCCATCTCTGGCCAATCACCATTAGGTTTCACAGTTAATGGATGGGGGGAGGAGATTTCCGTCTCTGGCCCGTCATCATTAGGTTTCAGAGTTAACAGGAGGGGGAAGGAGGGTTTCATCCCTGGCCAATCGTCACTAGGTTTCAGAGTTAAGATAGGGGAGGAGGTTTCCATCTCTGCCCAGCCATCATGAGGTTTCAGAGTTAACAAGGCCGTTTTTCACTTCCTTTTCCATCTGGCCGCCTTATTTTCGGGTCCATGAGCTTGGCACAACTTCGGGGGGGTCCCTATTGCTTTTTTTTGGGGGAGGGGTGACAGGATTTCCTGGTGACACTGTCCCCCTCCCCCTCCTCTCACCAGGGAAGATGCTGTGGCTCCTAAAACCCCATCGTGGGCGAGAAAACCACCGTCAGACACCATCTCCAAAACCAGCACCTTGTCCTCCATCACCCGAGAGAAACCCTACGGTGCCACCCCCCCCTCCGACACC